TTCAATATGAAATTTTCACTTCACTGTGACGCTTCTTTCTACAGGTGTATCCCAGGTAAACCTAAATAACCGAATCCAGCATTTGTCAAAAATGTGATTACACCCGTCAAAATAGCTAAAAACACTCGTAAAAAGTTGTGTTATGAATCAGAGGTGCGCGAGAACCCTAGTACACAATTTTCTAGATTTTTGAAAAAAATTTCGTCATATGGCATATTTCACAATAGATCCACATGCCAGGAGTTCAATACCGTATCCTACAGTAATGAAGAGCGATCGATGATTCGCTCCATGCCACAAATCTAAGTTGAACCTCGCTCTACAGAATGTTGCCTCAAGCTCGGCGAAAGACATGAAAGCAACGGAGTTATTGAGGATCAAACAGTGTTCACATTTTTTTTGGAGCACGCACCCTGTATAGAAGGATACAGGGTGGTCCCAAAAGTATGTATGCACTGTTTGATCTTTAATATCTCTCTTCTCAAGAGATCTTTTGCCTTGCTTCAGGTACCTTTTTGTAGAGCTGGCTTCAACTTAGATTTGCAGTGTAGAACGAATCAGCCATCCCTCTTCATTATTGTAGAATTACGGTAGAAACTTGGAAACATATGGTGTCAATGTGGAAAAAGCTGCCGTTTCAAAAATTTTCAAAAAAAATGTGAAAACTTATGTATTAAGGTTGTTATGGACGCTGAGTTTAATACTCAGCTATTAACAAGATTGCGAAGCTTTCCAAATAGTGTAACCGCACTTTTTAAGAACATTGAAAAATTAGCCGCTACTGTTTACCTGGCATAAATCTCCAATGAAGCATCATAATCAGCTGGGAACTTTACAATTAGAATCAGCAACTCTATTTAGCCTAGTGTAAAAGTTTGAAAAAGTTTTCAGGCTGTTTCAATTCCTTTATGATGCAAAATATGGCCTTTTATGGCTCAAACCCTCTTTGAAGTTTCTACCGTAATTCCATAAAATTCCTTTGGTATGCTTCTTAGAATGTTTGCGGGCCCATAACCCCGAAATCTTAGAAAAGGGGCGTGGCGGCAGCCGCGCCCCCGAAAAAAATTTCAGAGCTAAATTAATCTTTTGTAAATTTTCAAAAAATTATATTGATTATGCGCAAGTATAAACAAGTCGCTTGCACATTTTTATAAGTCATATAAGTAACTTTAAAATTCGCGACCTGTTCTCAGGGTGAAGAGGGGGGAGGGGGGGGGGGGGAGCGCCCCCTCGGTACGCCACTGATAAAGACCACTGCATAACATTTGGGGCGGTATGCAACAATCGCCCGTCCGGGTAAGTTACCCGGACAGGTAGTTTCCGCTTTATAGCTCGGTGCTCTGGAGATCTGTGTCCTTGCTTGTCGCTCATATTTTGAAGGCTATAATTTGCTTAATATTGTAGCACAATGATTAGCAGCACTTTGCTGTATTAAGCTGAGACAATTCGTTATTTGTATAATCCCGAACGGGATTTCCCACTGATCACGCTCTTTTTCAAAGTTATTTATATCCGCAAAAACTCAGGGAAAACGTCACAGAGTTTTGCTGTCCATTTATACGACAGTGCTATGCATGTTCGTGAAAAGAAATAAGTGAAAAATCAAGTTGAAAAACCCTTCGCTGAACCTGTGCCTCGCGAATTGGGCTTTATCGAAAAACTCAAAACTTGCACATTTTCATTATGTGCTACTTAAAAACATACGTAGCACTGTCGTAATGGATCGAAAGCAAAACTATGTGACGTTTTCATTGAGTTTTTGCGGATATAAATAACTTTGAAAATGAGCGTGATCAGTGGGAGATCCCGTTCGGGATCATACTAAAAACGAATTATTTCAGCTTATACAGCGAAGTGCTGCTGGTCATTGTGCTACAATATTAGGGTAGTAGAGCCTCCAATAGATGAACAAACAAGGAAGAACACAGATTCCCAGAGCACCGAGCTATGAAGCGGGAAACTATCTGTCCGGGTAACTTACCCGGACGGGCGATTGTTACATACCGCCCCTGCTTTGCAGAAGCTCGCAGTGTTTTCTACTATCCACATGCCTTCCTCGTGCTCGCATAAGGATGACTTGAATCCACCGCGCGATACCGATCATCACGGCTGAATTGTAAGTAACCACTCATGAAATCTTTCTTATTTGCGATCAGTAACTTTGGGAGGAAGGAAGTGTCTGCATAAGATAAATCGCAAGGAGAATACTGGGAGTTATTATGGTTTTGTAGTCGCCATAAATATCGAGCATAAATCCTCTCATAGCTAGAACTTTACAAGTCGACCTTGTACGCATTATTCTTTTTATTGGCATAGTTTGCGGATTTACCTGTAAAACAAGTCCACGACATTTGCAAAGAATTCTAATCAGGTGCCTTCATACCGCGCCGGCAACGAACGCTAGCAGCATCTACCGCCGCCAGCAGCCTTCAGCGGCCCGTAGCCCGCCGCTGGCGGTTTTTGTATGTCGGAGGAGCGTAAAATCATCAAATTTTTACTACGCTGAGTGCATCCGCCTACGCTTTTCGTGTTCCAAACTATTATCTTAATTTCCCCTGATGTGCAGTTTGAGTCACACACATCACATATGCGCTTATTGCTGTCATTACTCATTTCCTTCTTGTTGCTGCTCTGAAGAAAGAGGCTAGTAAAAAAAGTGAAACAGAAACGATGAGCATGCTGTCATCTGTCCTTTATTTGTCGTGCTCCATCGTTAGCTCAGTGACGAGCTAACTATGGAGTACGACAAGTAAAGGTGCGTGCAAATGCTGGATAACTGAGTGGGGAAAATTATGCTGATACAATTAGATGTATGCTATGTCTTGTGTTAGAGAACATAAAGCACAAAGCTTTGTCAAAAACAAAGGAAGCAAAGCACCGCAAGAAAGATTTTAAGCGCAACCATTTTGGAGGAGTAATTTGATCATTGAGAATCGTTTTTAGACAATAAAGATATGCAATAACGAAGTGTGGGGCACCGACAGCATATCCAATCTACACTAACAAGATAATGATAATCAAGAACACAAACGTGAGTGTGAAAGTCGAATGCACACTAGCGAATTTAGGAAGGGAGAGCATGATAAATTGAATGCACACAGTATACTAAAAATTTGATGAATTTTGCGCTCCTATGATAACGAAAGCGGCCAGTGGTGGCTACGGGCTGCTGGCGGAGGGCTACAGACTGCTAGCAGCGGCTGCGGCGCGATATGCTCGGATAATCGCCGGGGCAGGCGGCCATGCGACTTATGGGCAGGGGCATTGGAAAAATGATTCGCTGATTTCTTGCGCTCCGCCAGATATTTGGAAAAATTCTGGCAAAATTTTGAACAAATGCTCGAAGAACAATCGCGGATTTTTCATAGCAGTGGCACAGTGGCCGCATTCTCGCGGACTTTCCTCGAGAATATGCAAAAATTTATGCGGGCCTCACGGACCTTTGTGGGGGACCGCACTGCCCGTAGGTACTTTCGCTAAGAGAAAGTACCCCCAAACTCGGGTAATTTAAACCAATGTCATCTCTGTTATGTAGAGTGTTATCTTTGCTCGGCGTACGCCCGAAACTGTGCAAAAAGAGAGTCCAAGCGCATGATTATTTTTATGCCCGCGCTCGCTGAAAGAGATTATTTGACGAGCTTCTTGCAGAAAATTTTGTATTGCTGCGGCTGGCAGAACAACGAAAGTACCGCTCGCTAAAGGTTTGGTCACGCCCCCAAAATTTTCGCTGACCGCTTGCGGAAAAGGTGAGTTTGCGGACCGCCTGCCCCCGGCAATTATCCGAGTGAAGGAGCTCCTACCAACTTCTCAGATAATCACCGGGGCAAGTGGCCATGCGATTTATGAGCGGGCACCGGAGAAATAGTTCGCTGATTTACTGCGGTCCGCTTGCAGATAGTTGAAGGAATTTTGGCGAAATTTCAGAAGAATGCTCAGAGAACAATTGAGGCTTTTTCGTAGAATAGTTGCGGCGTAATGGCCGCATTCTCGCGAAACACGAAATTGCTGGGGTGCTTCACAAAATTTTGCGGGCCCATAACCCCTGAATTCAAGAAAAAAGGCGTGGCCGGGCAGCCACCATCCCATGAAAAATTGAATTTTTGAAAATTTTGAAGAATTCTCTTAGTCATCTACAAGAATAAACAGGTTGCACATTTTGATAACCCATTGAGTAAATTTCAGAAATCACGCGACACATTTTCGTTTATTTCCCTCCCCCCTCCTCGGTTCCGCCACTGACTAGTATCTATGTTGTGCAAAGTTTTAGCTCGAGACGTTGGCTGCTACTTGCTCTATAAATTTCGTGACAGATAGACATACACACACCCATACACATGCAGACAAAAGACAGATGTCTTTAGTGTCTTAGTATAAGTCATTGACGATAATAATGTATATATATATATAAATATCAGTGGCGTACCCAGGATTTCGGCTCGGGGGGGGGGGGGGGGGGGCGCGACAAAAAAAATTTTCTAATGAAGATGCGTGGCGTTAGCCACGCACCTCCGAAAATTTTTTGGGGGTGCTTATCAAAATTTTTGCGGGGTCTACAAGGCTAATTTTGGATTTTTAAAAATTTTTAAAAATTATTTTAATTATTTACAAAAAATAAACAAGTCCACTTGCACATTTTTATAACCCATATAAGTAGCTTTCAAAAATTTCGCGACCCATTCTCGGGGGGGGGGGCGCCCCCCCCCCCCCTCCCCCCCGCCCCCCCCCCCCCCCCCACTCGGTACGCCACTGATATATATATATATTTCAATTCAGGCATGTCGAATTACCAAAGCTGGATATCAACGGTTCGGAAGTCAAAAACTTCTTTTTCAAGTCAAAGCCTCTCAAATGCTCAAAAATCCTCAAAATTGGCTTTTCATCGATGGGTAGCAACAATGTGCAGTATATAGAAAGCAGGTAACATTACGGTTGCTCTATCTTCGTAATTTGCATGTTTTCACAACTTGAGTCCATTTTGTAAAGGAAAAGCGCCAAGTGCAGCGGATCATACGTTACGAGGAAGAATGATTTGATGAATATCCATACTGCTTTTGACTCATTGCCAGCCGGTAATCCCATGAAGTCTGATTTCGCCGTCGTTCGCTGCAAGGATGGAAAGCAAACATGGTAGGGAGCATAGGTGCGGCGAGGTAAACCGAGTGCCCTCCAAAGTGAAGGGGATCTTAGCTGTCCTTAAAAATGACGAATATGCAAAAGGCGCTCACTCGAACGGAGACGGAAGGGGGAGGGGGAAATGATTGTCACGCGTCTGCCGTACCTAAATGCATAATTTAAAAAACTTGGTTTGGGACGTTCATTCGAACGTGGAATGGTAAGATACGATATTGATCAAAAAACTACTTAAAGCAATGAACATATGACAGAAGCTCACCGGCATCGATAATATTAATATGTAGTTTTGTTCGGGACCCACAAGTGTAGATGCGCACTAAAATAAGAGAATAAACAGGTTGCGTTCGGTTTAGCAGAAAACATGTTATACGAACTTACCATGATAGAGAGATGGAAAGCTTGTATGTATAGTCTTTATGTAAAGAAAGCTTTCAAACAGTAGAGCCGAAAATACGCCGTTGAAGGTTACTTAACACGTTTCGGATCGATGCTGCACATGGTGCAGCACGCTGCTTTGAAGGATCTTTCTGATGTTTACAGGAGGTTTTCTTTTAGTCGAATGTTATTGTTTCAAAGGTCTAAGCTCCTACTTTTCAAATGACTCTACAGAGCTGTGCCGCCATTATTTGTTTAGAAGATATGGGGACAAATCGAATAACAGTTGCAACGAAGTGCGACAACGCGAACGACGCGTGGACATCGCAACTTTTCTTTGCTTAGATTTCAAAGAGGAAAACCGTAGTTTCAATAATGATGTGTACGGTGTACAACACAGATACTTTTAAATGCTATTTGAAACTAAGTTCTTGTTCCTATTTTTCAATAAAGCGCGAAAGTCCCTCTCAAGCGACAAAATTCAAACACTTCAAATTCACTCAGAACTTCAGATATGGAGCTTATCTGACATGCTGATTATAGATGTAGCACACAGTCTGCGAAATAAGGTCCCTTTGTTGGCTAAGTGCTGAAAGTACACTCTTTTTCGCCGCGCGCGATTTCGCGGTCCGAAACATGTTAAGCAAGGTGCCTTCGCTTAGTATGAGTTACAGCAAATCCCTTTGCAAGAGTATAGGTAATGCTAAGTAAACCTTTCCCTATAAGATGCAGAAAAGGTCGATCATGAAATGCTTCTATCAACAAGATATGAGGCTGCAGAGAGACTCACACAAAATCGATTGTTTTGCAATAAGTTAAGTAACGAGGAAGGAAAGCGAAAGTATACATGGATTCTCTTCTTCATGACTCATCGACTAATAAATATTAGGTCATTCCAAAAGTAATTTCGATTTTTCAAACGCACGCCACATGTTGATGGAACAAAGATTTCTAAGAGATCCTTTTAGCATTCGATGCAAAATTTCATCCTCTTTCTAAATGTTATAAAATTATTGCAACGCAGTCAATGAGCTTTCGAAAAATTACGAAAGTCTGCGATCCATGCTTTTTGAGATGCTCAAGTTTCACAATTTTTCTAAATTTTTACATAAGCCCTACAAAGGAGTCCAAGTAACTATTCGATAGAGCAATCTCATAGGATATTGCGCAACTTTTTCTCTTTTTTATATCTCGCCACAATTTCTTAAAAGATTTATTATTAAAACCATCGAATTTTAACAGAGGCCTACGTCAGCCACATTCGCATCAAAGATTAAAAATCTCGGAATATAAAACTTTTAGGATGGTATTGTGATTTAACACTAATTTTGCAAAGCGAATGAGAGTTTACGAATGGAAATATCTAATTTCGATTTTTCTGGGTACAGTCCGGAACGCGTTCAAAAATATGAATTATGATGATTTTATAAGCAAAAAATCCAGAAAGGGGAAACAAAAAGCATTCACTAGAAGGAGGAGAAGAAGCTGCATCAAATGACACTTGAGCTGCTTACCGTTTGTGTTCTACGATGTCTGAGTTGACACCAAGAATGGAAATTAGTAGCATTAATCAAAATTCTATTAAAAAATCTCGAGGAATTATGTGAAGGAGAAAAAAATGGCTTTGTGCCCTGTAGGGTTTGCTCTATCGAATCGTTACTTGTACCCCTTTGAAGGGCTTATGTAAAAATTTAGAAAAATTGTGAAACTTGAGCATCTCAAGAAGGCATGGATCGCAGACTTTCAAAATTAATTTTTCAGAAGCTGAATATTGAATATGCTGCAATAATCTTATAACCTTTAAAAGAGGGATGAAATTCTGCAACGAATGCTGCCAAGATCTTCTAGAAATCATTGTTCCATCACATGTGGCGTGCGTTTGGAAAATAGCGAAATTAATTTTGGAAGGACCTACCCTATTCTCAGGTGTATAAGCCGACTCTTTTCGATCTAAACGTGAGCAGACCCGGGCGTGCCGCTGCGGTATGTCTCGCGAAGCGGTCGCTTTATCGCATGTTGCTCTCACGTAACGCGCTCCATTGTGACAGTCAGTCTTTTGACGTGTTCGTCTCTAGAGCAAAAAGGGTGCGGCTTATACACCTGAAAATAGGTTAATATTAGGTCGTTTAAAGTTCTTTTCGTTTTTTCAACCTGTCATAAAAACTGAAAACTCAACATGTAAAAAAGTTACGCAAACGTCTCAAACATTATCCAGCGCAGTTGTCTTCCCCTTTTGACTTTTATATTCCTATGCCGCTGGCTCTTGTGATCATTGATATAATTGCCGTAATTGAAAACATGGTTTTTACCATGTCCAACTTTGTGACAATTTTTCACAATCTTCGTTTTCAACTCTTGGAATACTTTGATAGCAGTCAGACAGAGTAAACAAAATGCAATGCAATGCGATTTTTTGACAATTTCAATTGGCCTCTTAATGTTTTCGACATAGCTTTTTCAGAAGTTTTCAAGCTTTCCAGAAGTCTTCACTTGTTCGAAGCCACAAAATACAAAAAAGCTCCGAATATTAACAAATCTTCGGAATTCGAAATCAAAAGTTTTTTATGATTGTGCACCGTTTTTACAAAATAACTGTAAGCGTTTACTGCTTCTAAATAGAAGATTTCGCATTTTACGTGTACAGGCTGGGGCGGGTTCAAAAATATGGAAACTTTATCGCCAATAACCCCACAACTGGGAAGAGAAACAGTCATTGTAAACAGGAGAAAAAGCTGCATCGAGTGGCTCCTTAACTGTGTGCCGTTTTATGTTCTGTATCTCTTGACCTCACCAAAAAATGAAATTTGATAGCATCAGAAAAATAATTCTAAAAGGTTTTTCAAGGCTAGCTATAGATGCCGTAAATTTGCATTACATTGCACTTTGTGTACTCTATCTGACTGATATCATCTTTTCCAAAAGTCAAACTAGAAAATTGTGGAAAATTGGCAAAGTGAAATGGTGAAAACCATGCATCCGAAATTTCGGTGATTATCTCAGAGACATGATGATAAAAAAGAGGAAAAGCTGCGTCGGATAGTTCTTAAAACGTTTGCCAAACTTTATTCCGTCAGTTTTTATGATAAGTTGAAAAAACGGAAAGAACTTCCGGAACGACCTAATATTAGGTTGTAACATAGCTCTTAAGACACTCTCACTTCTTACGGCGATAAGTCGTACATTTCACATTTTCAATAAGGTCCAGCAAATTATTCGATAGCGCAAAGCAAGCTCTACTAGGCGCTGTATAAAAATCCGCACCAACTTCGTCCCATTGTAAGTTTCAGAATCTGAGTCGCACTGAAGGCTGAAAAAATCGCGAAAAATTCATCTCTTTGCTTAGAAAATTTCACGAATCTCCTACTTGCTCATAAAAACTGCACACCACATCAGACACTCAAATGTACCGTTGCTGTACTTTTTCTTCATTAGAAATCGGAAAAACGAATATTTTAGTGTAAAATACAAAGCTAACTGTTTTCACTCATGTAATTGTATACTACACCTTGGAGTATAATTGTAAATTTCCAGTTTTGCACAGGCTCTAGATTTTGAAAATACCAAATTTAAATCCCCACTCGGATCGGGTGTAAGGCGATTCGCACGACCATTATGCTTTCCATACAGGACTACCGCCGCGCGCGACACATCTTGCGGCGCTTCCCTGAGCAAAGCAAGGGAAGGAAAGGTTTGCGGCGTCGTGACGTGTTCGGAGAAGTCGAAATCAGGGTGGCGCTTGAAACCGCCCGTGCGAAAAGACCGTCTCCCAATCTGCCCACCTAGCGACCAGTGGGGTGAGGACGACTATACAAGCACAGACATGAATTTTTAGCGCTCTATAAGCTTTGACCTAAGGCATACGACCCCATTCAAATCTACAGAGTCGGCTGCGCGGGCGGTCGCGTCGCGCGTGCAGCTTTTATCACCGGGTCACGCTCGCCGTCGTGCAATGGCGTCCTGGGCCGGTATGTATCAATCGCCCGTCCGGGTCAGTCACCCGGACAGATAGTTTCCGCTTCATAGCTCGGTGCTCTGGGGATCTGCGTTCTTCCATGTTTGCTCATCTTTAGAAGGCTCTACTACCCTAATACTGTAGCACAATGAGTAGCAGCACTTTGCTGTATAAGCTGAGATAATTCGTTATTTCTATGATCCCGAGCGGGATCTCCCACTGATCACGCTCATTTTCAAAGTTATTTATATCCGCAAAAACTCAATGAAAACGTCATAGAGTTTTGCTGTCGATCTATTACGACAGTGCTACGCATGTTTGTGAAAGAAATAAGTGGAAAATCAAGTTAACAAAATCTTCGATGAACCTGTGCTCGCGAGTTGGGCTTTATCGAAGAACTCAAAACTTGCACATTTCATCTGTTATACTAAAAACATGCGTAGCACTGTCGTAATAGATCGACAGCAAAACTCTATGACGTTTTCATTGAGTTTTTGCGGATATAAATAACTTTGAAAATGAGCGTGATCAGTGGGAGATCCCGTTCGGGATCATACAAATAACGAAATATCTCAGCTTATAGAGCAAAGTGCTGCTACTCATTGTGCTACAATATTAGGGTAGTAAAGCCTCCCAAAGTGAACAAACAAGGAAGAACACAGATCCC